AGAACACTTTGTCCTAAGGAAAGATAAAACCAATTTGTAGTAAAAACGTGCGTGCAAAAAAACCCCCCCCCCCACCCTCCGATTGAGAGAAATACAAGTGAGTTGTATTCTCGGACACCGACATGTATCTTATTTGTGAAATCACCCAGATGTCCACGTACTCATCATCACATCCTGCACTCTGGGGACACATTCTTGTTTTTGTAGGATATTTTCCAAAGCGAGATTGTGTGTTTCATTGGAAAGGTGATTGAAATAAACTCCTCTCCGGGGTCCTGGTTTTCTTAAATTTTCCTCCGGAAACGGTATACCGTATTTCGCTATAGCGGACAAGAATTATCAAAACAGTGCTCACTTCCCATTCTCTGCTTCTTCCTCGTTGGTGGTGCTTCATACTAACCAAGAGAGCTTTGGGGTGAGAGCTCTCAAGAAAGAAAGACACACACGCACACCAGGTGACTGGGCGGATAATTCCCTGGAACCAGCGCGCGCCGCAAGGGGCGCAAAGCCCTGCTTTTGTCTGAGTGGCTCAACACTGTGCAAGCCAGTACTAGTATTCCAGGACGGCCCCCCGCCCGTGCTTTACGCGTCGCCCCCTTCCGCGGCACGGGACGCGACGAGACCCGGCGGCTCGTGAGATGAAATTCCGCGCCCCACCTTTATTCCTCCACTGATTCGGGCGAGGGTGAGGGAATTGGTGAGGAATCCGTCCAAATACGAGATGAATGTTGTCCCCCCCAGCGGCCCGCAGCTCCGCCCCGCCCCGCCTCGCCTGGGGTGTTTTCCTAGCCGCGCTCCCCTCCGCGTTTTAATTCCCCCAAAAGGGCCGCGCAGAAAATTGTCTAATAACTCGCCATCTCGCCCGTGTTTCGCCGCTGTTTTCTTTTGGAATGTGTATTTCCAAGCGGCATACGCCTGAGACGAATGGGGGAAGGGAAAAGTCCGCTATTTTGGAGGGGAAAGGGAAGAGACCGGGGAGGAATAAAAGGGGTAGTAAACAAAAATAAATAAAAAAGGAAACGAGGAGGCCGGGGGGAGGCAGGCGGTGGGTGACGGTTTTTGTGAAAGCTCAAATATTGAACTTCCCTGAAGGGTTTGGGAAAAGGGCTTACGCGACGCTCATCCTGTTGTTGAGTCCCTTCGCCTCCCCCTGGTCGCCGTGCCGCCGCGGGGCAGAGGAGCGCGAGGGAAGGACCCGGTAAGGAAGGAGGAAAGGACCGCGGGGGGTAGGAAGGTGAGGAGGAAGTGCGTCGCGCCGTGTAGAGTCGTGTCTCTACGCGCGGGCCGTGGAGCGCAAGGACCCGGGAAGGAAGTAGGAAAGGACCGCGGGGGGTAGGAAGGTGAGGAGGAAGTGCGTCGCGCCGTGTAGAGTCGTGTGTCTACGCGCGGGCCGTGGAGCGCAAGGACCCGGGAAGGAAGTAGGAAAGGACCGCGGGGTAGGCTGGCACTAAAAAACCACTTTTCAGAATTTTTAAGTTCTTAGGTTCAGACTTTGTTTCTTTCGATGAAAATGAAATCTCATTTTTTTAGACCGATCGGACACGTTTTAGTGGTGCCCTGAAGTTGATTTATATTAAATAACGACACTAAGTTACATACACTTTGATAGCTTCCGTCCCTTATGTCCAATCGACATCCAATTTGACCTTAAGTAAAGGTAAAGGTATTATATAGGGCAGCTCTCGTGCAAAGCCAACCCGATGTGGCTCAAATACTTTTGGAGTTATGGCCGTTGAACGATTTTGGTCATTTTTGTTACCTTGGGTAAAATGACCGAATTTCACTGAGAAGGACTCTCTCTGGAAACACAAGAATGCAGTACCTCCTGCATACCTACATGTGTGCAGGAGGTCCTGCGTACTTGGAAAGTATGCAGGAGGTAATGTGTACTTGGTCAAGTATGCAGGAGGTAGTGTGTACTTGGTCAGATATCCTGCATAAATGTATGGAGGTTTTAGTGTGCACTTGACCAAGTACACACTACCTCCTGCATACATGTAGTTTAAGTAAGTACACACTTGGGTTTCTAGAACTGACTATGGTGTATTTTGCTCTTAAAATCAGCCTCTTGTCCCGAAATGGTAAAATCGCGTTCTGAATCCGAATCCGTCGAGAGATTTGAGGGATTACATCGTCTTACTGGCCCAAGAGTCCCCCAAATGTACCTATTAAAATTAAGTTTTCTAGGCCCGCGGACCGCGGGGGGTAGGAAGGCGAGGGGGAAGTGCGTCGCGCCGTGTATAGTCGTGTATCCTCGCGTGGGCCGAGAGGTGTTATTGATTTCAAGGGCTTCATCGGCGTGGCGGGGCGTAACGTTGGCAAACACGCCGCCCTGGAGGCCTGGAGGCGGGCGGGGGCGGGCGGGGGCGGCCGCGCAAACAACAGCACGCCCTGTGATCGCCATGCCCACCCAGCACATAGCCCCCGATCAGGACCGCACCTCCGAAAATGTGAAAATGTTTTTGTTTTTTTTCAACAGTCCCTTGTGGTTTTGAATAACGTTTTGCCGTTCCAGTTTTGGTATTACCGATTAACGTTCCAGTAGTAAAAGCTGCTGGAGCCCCGGCCAGGCTGGCACGCTCGCTCGCTCTCTCTCTCTTACTCTCAATCCCGTAGTGACTTTTCCGTTGGTACACCATCAAGCGAGCTATGAACAAAGGTATAAAACAATGCTGTTTTTAAATAGCAGCGAAATTGTGGATGTGTAGCCCACGTTCGAACCCACGTTTCTTATAAACAAAATGTTTTTTCTAATAGTAGCCAAACGAGCTAAATGATAAATTTGGTACCTTACCAAATTGCATATGTTGATAGCAAGAAAAGAGAACTCGATAAGGAATCTATGAGAGTGCAAAACTA